CCTTGACTCTCATGAGGCTTTCTGTTTCCTCAGCTGAGGAGGGAGGACATTCAGGCAGTAGTTATGCTAGGCTCCTTTGAACTGCAGCCTCCTGGGTTCTAACTGCTTGCTAAGCTTCCTGACAGGAGCTCCTGTGGGCCAACAATACCCTGTGTGATGTCACTGGGCTCTGAGAGGCAGCCTGTGGTGGCATGTTGAACACTCTGCTACTACAAGGCAACCGAGCATGATCCAGCACCATTAATCCTTTGGCAGTTTCATGTATGTCTATGATGAATTTTATTTTCCTTCCCATTATCCTCTTTCATCCTCCCCCCCCCCCACTGAAACCCTTCCTCTTTCTAACAAGTTTCTGTTCTTTGTGTTCATTCTCTTGTGTGTGTGTGTGTGTGTGTGTGTGTGTGTGTGTGTGTGTGTGTGTGTGACCCACTGAGTTTAATTAAGGTTGCTTGAATGAACATGAGTGGGAGATTATTTACTGAGTATGGACAGATCACGTGTTTCTTGGGACAAGGCTCACTAAACCTGCAGCTCACTGACAGGCAAGACTGCCTGGCCAACAAGCTCCAGGGTTCTTCCTCTCTCTAGCTCTCTGGTATTGCCATTACAAGTGTGTGCTGTTGTACCCAGCCTTTTTCTTTCTTTCTTTTTTTATTTTATGTGTGTGATTGTTTTGCCTGCATATGTGTATGTTAATTATGCCTAGTGCCTTAAGAGGCCAAAAGAGGGCATTAGATCCCCTTGATCTGAAATTACAGATGACTGTGAGCTACAGTGTGTGTGCTAGGAACCAAATCCAGGTCCTCAGCAAGAGCAGTAAATGTTCCTAATGTCTGAGCCACTCTCCAGCCCTGATGCACCTGGCTCATGTGGGTGCTAGGGATTGAGCTTGAGGCCTCATGCTTGCAAAAAAACACTTTACCCACAAGCCCTAAATTATGAAAGAGAGAAACAGAGAGAGAGAGAGATGGGGAGAGAGAGACAGAGACAGAGAGAGACAGAAACACAGACACACAGACACACAGACACGGGGAGAGAGAGAGAGAGAGAGAGAGAGAGAGAGAGAGAGAGAGAGAGAGAGAACGTGTGTTTATGACTTTAAGCACACATACTATGGCAGGTGTATGAAAGCAGGGACAATGTGAGGTATTAGACCTTGCCTTCAACCTTGTCTGACAGTCTTTTTGTTGTTCACCACTACCTATGGTGGTGTAGCTGAGCTTTCCAGGGTTAGCCTGTTTCTGTCTCCTATCTCTTCACAGGTACACTGAGATTACATGTGTGCGGAACAGAGTTCAGCTTTATATGGGTTCTGAGGATTCAAACTCAGACCTCATGTTTGAACAGAAAGTGATTTGCCCATTCCTCAACCAAAGTCTCCCATTTTAAAGCAAAGTCAACAGGTATAGATCCAGATTTATGATTTGTGGTGTGTGTGTGTGTGTGTGTGTGTGTGTGTGTGTGTGTGTGTCTTCCTTTTGTTTGTTTTTTCCTTGTTGGCATTTATAATTCATACGTATCCCCAGGAGGAAGTGGAAAAAGAGGACGAGGACTTGGGAAATGCTTTTTCTGAGTTATCTGATAGTTGGAAACATGTTTATTCTGCTCTTGAACTTGATTGGGTTTTGACTAGTTGTAGAAATCTAGGTTTGATACCATCTAATTATGGATTGATAGCCATTTTTCTACAATTTTTCTGAATTGAGTGTTGCCACCGAATTTAATGTTATCCTTTGTAAATGCCAGCTCTCCTGGCACGTTTCCCCATTTGCTGCACTGGCCACTCTGTGTCCTTTGTTTATGTGATCATCTCTTCCCTCCAGTTCTTCCACAGTTTTCTTGAATTCATTGCTAGTTAGATACTGCTGGAAGAATGCCCCATCTCAGATTGTCCCTGACTCTATCATTTTTGCTGTACTTTACAGAAAATCCCCTTTTATTTTCCAATCTTCTGCTGATTTTGCTAACTGTGGCAGGCACATTTTAAATTTCAATTGTCCCTTTTTGTTCTCTACTGCCATTTCTCTGGTTCTTTCAGTATGATGTCCTTAATTTCTCAGTTTTAGTATTTTGCAAATTTTGGGTTTTTCCTATTTTGTGGCTTTCCACACATTTTCCCCCTTTTGAAGATTTTCCTCAGATGCCTTGGTTAAGCCTTGGCATCTATATCAGTCCATGTGGGCAAATGGAACAAAACAGCACAGAGTGTCTGGCTAACACTAGGAATTAACAGCTAGAAGTACAAGTTTAAGGTGCTGGCAGGATGGCTTCCACTTAAAGCCTCTCTTCTTGACTCACATATGACCCCTTCCTTGACAAACCCTCACATGTCTTTCTCCCTGTACATGTTTCCTGGCTATCTTATAAGGTCACCAATCCTACAGAATCAGAACCTGTCCTATGAGCTCGTGTAACTTTAATCAGCTCCATAAAGGAGGTTAAAATTAAAAGATTAAAAATTACCTCTTTCACAAAAATGGTCAAATTGTGGCTAATGATTTGACACAATTTTGGAGCGTTGTGGTTCAATCCCTATCAGCATTCAATTACAATTGAAAAGCAGGACAAACGAGCTGTTGGGCAGTCTGGATACTGGAGCAGGCGTCTGCAGAGGAGCTGCCATGTGCGGGAAGCTCTAAGCCAGTGGTTCTCAACCTGTGGCTCACAACTCCTTTGGGGGTTGCACACCAGACATCCTGCTGTCAATTACAGCTCAGGAGCTGTCACTCAAAATTATAGTCAGGAAGTAATTTGATAGTTGGGGGCACCACAACATGAGGAACTATATTAAAGGGTCCCAGCATTAGGAAGGATGAAAACCACTGACCTAGGGCCTTGGTATGTTGGTCCTTTTCCCTGGGCCCATCTCCTCTACCTAGAGCAGTTCTCCCTTCTCCCACTGCAGCCACAGCAGCCTTGATGGTGTGTGTGTGTGTGTGTGTGTGTGTGTGTGTGTGGGTGTGT